CTGACCCATGGGACTGACCACTGACCCACGGCGCTGACCCATGGGACTGACCACTGACCCACGGCACTGACCAGCGGCACTGACCCCTGGGACTGACCAGTGGGACTGACCAGTGGGACTGACCAGTGGGACAATGGCCAGAGCCACGGCGATGGCCCGCGGCACTGGCCCCTGGGACTGACCCATGGGACTGACCACTGACCCACGGCGCTGACCCATGGGACTGACCAATGGCCGGAGCCACGGCGCTGACCAGCGGTACTGACCACTGACCCACGGCACTGACCAGCGGCACTGACCACTGACCCTGGGACTGACCAGCGGCATTGACCCCTAGGACTGACCAGCGGGACTGACCAATGGCCGGAGACATGGTGCTGACCAGCGGGACTGACTACTGACCCTGAGACTGACCACTGGGACTGACCACTGACCCTGGGACTGACCACTGGGACTGACCACTGACCCTGGGACGGACCCACGGCACTGACCAGCGGCACTGACCCCTGGGACTGACCAGCGGGACTGACCAGTGGGACTGACCAGTGGGACTGACCAGTGGGACTGACCAATGGCCGGAGCCATGGCGCTGACCAGCGGGACTGACTACTGACCCTGGGACTGACCAGTGGGACTGACCAGTGACACTGACCACTGACCCACAGGACTGACCCATGGCACTGACCCATGGCACTGACCCATGGGACTGACCACTGACCCTTGGGACTGACCCCTGACTGGAGCCATGGAACTGACCAACGGGACTGACCAGTGGGACTGACCACAGACCCATGGGACTGACCCATGGCCGGAGAGGGCCGGAGCCACAGAACTGACCGATAGCTGACCCTTAGAACTGACCCATAGCAATGACCTGCAGAACTGACCAACAGCCCTGACCCCTGGCACTGACCAATGGCCGGAGCCACAGAACTGACCCCTGGCACTGACCCCTGGCACTGACCCCTGGCACTGACCAATGGCCAGAGCCACAGAACTGACCCCTGGCACTGACCAATGGCACTGACCAATGGCCGGAGCCATGGCCGGAGCCACAGAACTGACCCCTGGCACTGACCCCTGGCACTGACCAATGGCTCTGACCCATGGAACTGACCCTTGGCCGGAGCTGTGGCCGGAGCCACACCACTGACCCCCCCCCAGGCAGAGACCCTCGAGACCATTGTCCCCCCCTCCCCCATCCCC